CAAAATACGGCCAAATTGTAACTAAATATTTCTTGATAGTCATTTAAGAATTATAGTAGTTCCGTTATTTCTCCTGGAAGCCTATTTCGATAGTTATATATTATTTATTTGATTAGGAGTTGATCCCTTTGGCAAATTATTGTTCAATTTTTATATTGACCAAAAGCCTTATATAGTCTATGGGCCAACTGGCTAAATTTAAGGAAATGGTATAATTTGGGGGTACCAATTTTCCTTTTTACCACGGTTAGACACATGCATTAGGAGGTAAAAAAAACGATAATTGCCATCTCAAAGTGGTAGCTAATAGAAATGGCGGCCAATCCAAGATGGCGGATGTTGAGTTTTATAAAATTAACTATACCTATCTTTAGAACTATTGGTCCGACTTCATCATTTTCTTAAATGAAAGCTTTTGTGTGTGCTACAATATTGTCATAACTACATTTCCGATAAAAGCTGTTAATGAGATAGGAAACTTGAACTGTAATCTCACATGTGAACAATAATGAAACACGAACTTGTTGCTTTAACGTTTAATTGTCGTCTGTATGAGGTCCGACGCGCGTAGCGCCTCCTAATATCCAGGTACAAAAACTGGTTTAAAAATGGGCGGGTTTACAATATGCAGCAACAAAAGCAACAGTTAGTAACTAATGCATGAAGTAAACGAACTGAATTTTTTTGACTCTTAACATTTAATGAAAACTAAATGAACCCCATCGTTACTTTCAAAAGTTTCATATACATTAAAATCTGCTCCTTCTTCCTTTTCTTCAGTGACGTATCCACAAGTTGGCAGTCTGCATGCGCTTGTACACTTTAAGTTATTAGCATTACGTAATGGTAGTTGTAAAGAGCCAGCTTGGTAATTCTACGTGATGTGATATGGAAGCCAAACTTAGGGTTATCTTTCATCTTTTTGCTGCTTCTGGAATAGCATCTCTTTGATTTTGACGTACAATTTTCCAATGTATTTTTTGTTTTATATAATCTACTTATGTCAAATTATCGGCACAGTATACACCTTTCCATCAATATTAACAAGCTCTTTGCTGACGTTATGCCAGTCAGTCAGTCTTGTCAGTTGTAAAGTTCTTGTTTACCGTTAAGCGGAAACGTGTGTCACGTTTTACGAGGAAGTTAGTGGAAGTGCTGTGTTTATCGAACAGGCGTCGCTTATCTGAAGCCTTTCTTTAAGGTTTTCCCAGTAAAGGAAGTTTTTCACCATTAAAGAGCCAATTTTACATCTGTAATTACAACTATAGACGTAACTACAATGATTTTTGTATTTAGTAATTATTTTAATTTTAATTCAATTGTTTGATCAGCTAAAGCTGTGAATAATCGTTTACTTTTGGTTGTCTTATGAGATTTGGTGTATCTTCGGTTTGCAATATCTATTAAACCGAATTTATTTTTGCGTATCTTGCATATTTTGATATCCTTTGCATTTACATGATAGAATTGCATATTTTAAGATGTATTTAAATTTTTGTTAGATTTAATCGATTTTAATTTCAATTTTTAATACATTTTTTTGGATTTTTATAACGGACGCGATAATGAAAAAAGCCGAAAGGAAGATTTATTGATTTAATTGATGTTTAATTTCATCATTTCCAAACTATTTTATCTTTCTCTTTCTCTACGGTGATGATGGGTGATATTGTGGAAGGTTTGGAAATTGCTCCCAATAGTTTGTCCTTTTCTAATGCACCTATTATTTTAGTTGATGTAGAGTATAGTTTCTCTGCTTAGTGCTTATAAATTAATTCTTAGCGACAGCAGACAATCATTTCGTGCAGGAAACTTAGAGAAACATCTTATTGCTAGTGTTTATCGTAATTCCTTTTTTATTAGAAATTATGTAACATATATAATTTTGTATACGTGTGCATATATATATCAAAACTGTTTGCATATTTTTCACTAATATTCTGCATAATATGCGCATAATTTTACCATTCATTGTGTATTAATACAGGCAGTAAAGAACATTCGGGAAACAATTAAAAAAAACATTTTTTTAAATTACTTATTAACAGTTGATTTTATCGAAAAAGTACTAATGACAATATTTATAGCACATAGCTTTCATTAAAAAAAAAGATTAATGAAATTGGATCAATAATTCCAGAGATATAGTTTACTTTATAAAACTCTACATCCGTCATGTTTGATTGACCGCCATTTCTATTAGCTACCGGTTTGAGATGGCAATCATGATTTTTTGGCATCCTAATAAACCTGTATAACCACTGTAAAAAGGAAAATTGGTACCCCCAAATTATACCGTCATGTCGACTGGCCCATGGACTAATATATTTAAATTTGTAATTTTGAAACCACGAGTTTCCTGAGTGAGGAAGGTCGGATACTGGACACTTTGCTTGCCCCTAGATCGGAAGTTTAGATAAAAGGTTCATTATAGCCATGGCTTTTGTATAACAAGGTATCTCGGACACCAATAATGGCCCTCCAAGTAGAGTATGAGCCCTTGATGGGCATGCTTTCCAAATAAATCATTTTGACACTACGTAGAGATTATATCAGTTATTAAAATACACTTTAAATTTGACATCCTATTTAAGAAAGATAAAGATGTGGTGATAAGTGGACGTTTGGAGACGAGCCTTTCTGATTATAGATATTACATTTACTAATTTTATTGGGGAAGAAGCAAAACGCACGACGTAAGTATTATGACATTATGGTCACGGTAATCATTTTAGGGAAGTTATCGATTAAGAACTTTATTATTTATTAATGGCGTTTGAGTTGTTGCACGCATGTGAAACGTTTACTATTAGCACTACACTACATTCTTAGATACCAATTCATTGTCTTCTCCGGATCCACTTGTTGAAACCCAATTTACACGGGAGTAAGACTAAGAAATTAAATTTCAGTCAAAGTGAAGCGAAATGGTGAGGGATTTTTCACGCATTTTGGCAAATGAAACAATATTGCTGTACCAAAATTGTGCGAATAAATAAATTTCTGGGAGTATTTTTGGGGATCGTTATTCGTAAATAAAACTGGCGGAAGCTCACCGGTTTTCGTTATTAATAAATTCAAGGCTACTTTTACTATTCTAGAATTACGACAACACGGACTCGATTTATAGTTTTTTTCTCGTTAATCTCTCGCATTTAGAATGGACCTAGCCGAATTTAAGTAGGTACTTTTCGTTTAGTGCAATTAAATCGGCCGTTAGTGACAGCTGTATAAACACATGTAAAACGGCGATAATTCGTGTAGATTGATTTATTTGCATTTATGAGCGTAAGTTGCGATGTGATTTAGTAAACAAAGGAAGGCTTGCATGTTTCGAGTTGACCTACTTCCGGATTTTCTCGGCTTAAATTTCCGTTTTCGTCTTCAATTTATATCGAGCCTTGTAGGTTATTGTCAAGATTTATCTAGGATTAATTACGTTCGATCGTTTCACTAATCCTTATCCTTATTAAGGATCATTTTTTCACGTCGAGTGTAATATATTTTGGGTGGGATGTTTACCCCATATGCTAATTACATTCGAGAGCGGTATTTCAGGGTAGAGTAAATTACGTATAAGTAAGCGATTCTGTATAATATTAAGATGTAATAAATCTGCGATGTAGATTGATGAAAGGATAAAGCGATTCTATATTTAGCTTAGTATGTCTGGATTGATCAATTTTCGTGTTTAATTACTAATCATAATTGTCCTGAGAGTGAATTGCTGCTTTGGTGTTTCTTCAAATTTTTACAAAAAGTTACACTTTTTACATAAATCATAAATTTATTAGTAAGTAGAATTGCAATAACAATTATTTACACGTCAATAAATAATAAAAAAATAGTAGATATATAAATATAACAGACACAGACACACAAGTAATTACAAAGAAAACGAACACATAGCCGTAACAAATTCACGCTCATAGTAGATGACTCTATCCAACAAGAATGCCTTAATTCTGTTTTGAAATTGGCCAAGGTTTAGGCCGCTTTTCATTTGATCCGGAAGGGCGTTGTAAAATGCTATAGACTGGTACTCCGGGGATGTCTTGTAAAACGAATGACGTGGTTTGTCCAATCTCAGCTTGTGCTTGGTCCAATCTCAGCTTGTGCTTGCAGCGTGTATCGTATATGAGTGGACCTCGCTGCCAGTTATGAAACTTTGTTTATGCTTATGTATATATGAGACACAATTATATACATAAATAGAGTAAAGTGTCATTATCTTGTAATCCCGAAATACATATCGGCAAGTATGAGTTGGTTTTAAATTAAAAATAAGTCTAATCACTCTTTTCTGCAAAACAAACACACGTTCACGGTGGACACTACCTCCCCAAATCGCAATGTTATATTTAATTGCAGAAAACACGAGCGCGTAATACACGCTTATGAGAGCATTTTGACCAAATGAATTTTTCAAATTTAGTATTAAGAGCCCGCTACGCGTATTAAATAACTTACGCATTTTCCGTTCAGCTCTTAGCGATTTTTTCGAAAACGGCGTTAGTTAGCAACATCGTGAAAGTTACGTTGGATTCTATAACCTTTCTTCTACGCCTCTCTTGTAACAGATTTTTGATATTTTTTAAATGTTAATAATTACGGCACCTGAAAATACTGAAAATATCATGCATTTCTACAATTATTTATGCAAAATTCGAGTATTATATAAAAAATCTGTTACAAGAGAGGCATAGATGGGTCCTTTATCTTTACATCGGTACCTAACATCAAAGGATAGAATCCAATTTACTCAAAATTTTATACTAAGTCCCACACCTCTACAACGCTACTCGACTCGTATAACATCTGGCGAAGCTACATATTCTTTATTAAAGAGGCGCGACTTAATGTTTAGTGTGAGTATTCAGGACCGGAGTCAGTTGTGCTGTAGCCTTTACTGTATGGTGCTTTTAAAAATATAATTTTTATCACCTTTTGTGAATTGTGAGCGTCGGAATATATACAGAGCATTAGATATATGATATGATATATACTGAGCGAATTTTTACGCGGAAAAACAGGAGTGTTATTGTGTCAACAGTTTGTTTCTTATCGGGTGGATAACTTTTAGTGGAATTACACATGGAAGCTAACTACAGAAGAGGAGCGAAGACAAGGTTGCGGTTATCTATTCGCAGGAAGAAATCCAATAATATCTATAAATACAATGCGTAAGTTATTTTTTATAGCTACCAGCATGTAGTAAAATAATTTGTTCTAGGGCTCGTGCTGGTGGGCTTCCTTGTTCGACCAAAAATATTTTGCCAACATCTAGAACTACGTAAGTATATTTCCATAGATAATACATACGAGATTTCGAATTGTCTGTGCGTCACCTTTGTTACTATTAGAAAGGTATTTCAAATATCTTTTTCTAAATCATACCTTACCTATTCAGTGGTCCTTTATATTTTTGTATTGTTGTCCGTCCGTGTGCACAACAACTTTTTTTATATGCGGCCGATTGCGCTGAAATGTGGTGTCAATAGGAACAAAAGTTATGAATTAATTGCTAAAGTAATGGAAGTCAATCTTTCCTTAGTGTGGTTTATACGTTTTCCGGTAACTTTTAAATTGTGAGCGTTTTATCCACCCGTCCGTCCGTCAAAATTCATTCAGTTTTAGCAATATTTTGGATTTATTTTTGAAAATAATGAAAAATCGAAAAGGAGCAATTAATTAGCAAATAAAAAGCTGTGTCGAGTTATAAAGAATTTTTCTTATAAATAAATTTTTTTATGTCTCTCTATTTCTTTAATTTTTTGTGTCAAACACATGTCCAAAAAGTCACGTAACTTGAGACATACTGTAATTAGGGATCTATCATAAAAAACAGAATCAGTTATTATAAAAATTAGAGCCATAACACTGTAAAAACGTCGTTACGGTAAAATAGTTATTCAAAATATGGCCGTAGTGTTAGATTAAAAACTAAACTTTTTTACTTGCGCACGCACATAGTTCTGGAAAAAAGCGCATTTTTTAGTACAGCTACGACCTTAAATAGTTTGAGGACAGCGATATTTAATTAAATGCTGCCCATCAACATAATAAATCATCCATTTTTAGTTCCTACTCATCGACACGATGTGTTTGATAACCTAGAAGTGGGTAGTTTGACTAGAATCTACTTTTTTATCTATTTTTCAACATATGTTTTTTTCTTTGATTTTTAGTATCTTTATAATGTTATAGGGAAAAGGAAAGTATTCTGCCAAATGTAGAAATCATTGCCAATATTACCGAATCTTCACCTGAATCCCCAGAGATAGAAAAAAGGAAAACGTAATATTTTCCATATCGATTTTTTATGTGTTTATCTTTATACCGTTTTAGGGTAGAGAACAATGATGACCGTCTTGACGTATGCCAAGTGACGAATGGTGCTCACATTGAACACTTGTAGGCTATTATGTAAAACTGTTTGAGTTTCTCTTTCATTTGAACATTTGACAATTGTGGCTGTAAGTTTGATGTATTAAATATTATAACATGTTAAAACCCCTCTATTCATTTTGAAACACGCTGTATATAAAAATATTCCATTTTTTTTCCTTATACTGCTGTGAATGAGTCGTGTACCTTATGACTATAAGAATTAAACCATTGTACATAATAAATAAATATTTTTAACATAAGGTATTTTTGTGTTGCTTAAAGCTAATTTGAAAATTCCCGAAAGATTCCCTTATTTATGCGTACAAAGGAAAATAAGTTGAGGCATTTAATATTCTTATAAATAAGAAACTTAGCCTTTGAGTAGTCTGCGCAGTGCGCATGCACACACCTAATGTTTACAATATGCGATATGTTTGCCTTTACTAGAAGAATCTTCGGTTAAAATTTCCAAAAAATATCTATAAATCTGATTTTTACAATATACGATATGGTTCCATTTTTTTTTTGTAATGCGTTAACAGGACATGCCCAACACTGCTTCCGAAGTATAACGATAGGTAATAATTTTTTGAATTGTTTAGAGGCATTGTAGAATGCGTCTATATAAGTAAGTGGTGAAAGCTTTGTACAGGCTATACTGTGAGTAATTTCAAAAGGGTTTTTGAATTTAATTAAATCCCTTTTTCAGTACTCATAACTCATAACTTTTATTGTTTCCTGTTGACAATATAATATTGTATTAGGACATGTCACAAAATGAAGAAAAAAGAAAGAAAAAGGGAAAGAAAACATTGACAAAAACGATGAAGTACCGAAATATATTATCGTGTAATGGATTCTTAATTATAAATTGTATACTGCGTCGCGCAAGGCACTATCCGGTATGGTATAGCAGTGCAAATTTGAAAGTACGCGTACCTTACGAATAAGTTCAAATACGTTCCTTTCAAATCGGTCAGAAAATACTGCAGTAGGGATATGCTAATGCCCGCCTCCGACTGCGATCCTCTCCACCCGACCGCGGAGCGCTTCCCTAGCCGTATGTAGAGAACGTACTCTTAAATAGTAGGCTTTGTTGATCTTCCCGCATATGTCATCCACCTGGTTGGTCCAAGATAGTGCGCCGTCGACGTGGATGCCTAAGAACCTGGTCGTAGATACACTAGGGATCACGTGGTTTTTTATAGTAAAGTTAAATTCGTTTTTAGATTTATATCTGGAGTGAATCTCAATAAAAACTGACTTATTGTAGTTTATCGTTAATCTGTTTTTGTTGCATCACGAGTCGAATTGAAGTAGCACTTTGTTGACGTCACCGCGCACATCTTGGATTGAAGCACCACTCACTACCACCGTTGTATCGTTGGCATACATAAAAAGTTTACCCCGTGTGACATATTCCGGTAAATCATTTATAAAAAGCAGAAAAATTAGGGGTCCTAATACGCTCCCTTGGGGCGTGCCAGTATCCAGTTTAAAGATGTCGGAAAGAGTACCATCTACTTTGACTCTGAGGGTTCTGTTTGTCAAATACGAGAGTATCCACGCATTGATTGGACCTCTAATACCATATTTTTCAAGTTTATCACACACGATGTCTTTATGTACACTATCAAATGCACTTGACAGGTCAAATTGAAGGGTCACTATAATGTTGTTTTTGTCCAACTCCCGAAATAAATGTTGCACAAAATCAAAGTTTGCTGTTTCTGTGGAGTGGCCCGGCCGGAAACCATGTTGACATGCTGTTATGACGTTGTGCGTAGTTAAAAAGGACCATATCTTTGCACTAACTATTTTTTCAAATACTTTAGAGAAAATACTCAGAGTAGATATGGGTCTATAATTTTGTACATTAGAGCAGTCACCTTTTTTGTGCACTGGAACAACGGTAGCTATTTTAAGTATTTCAGGGAATTTTCCTTGAAGCAGGGAAGCGTTAAACAAATCCGCCAGGGGACCTGAAATTATCCTGGAGCATGCTTTGAGGATATTTGTAGTGATGTCATGATGGCCCGTGGCCTTGTTAGCAAGGCGTTCCAGAACGTTCTTAATATCCATATCAAGGACAGGAGCGATGAATAAGCTAGGAGCAATCCTTATTTTTGTAGTGGTGCGTAGTGAGGTGTTTAATATCGACGTAGGTCTGGTGAAGTGTGTGGCAAAAATGTTACATAACGTTGGTAGATCAGATATTGTCTCTTCTCCATCAATTAAGCGAAATGGTTCAACGGTTTGCGGTTTGTTTTTTATTAGGTTCCATAGCGTCTTAGACTTGTTTTTAGAGTGCGAAATCAAGTTATGGTAAAATTGGCGTTTTTCGTTTTTAACTTGTTGGTTTACTTCGATTTTCAATCTTCTATACTGCGGATCAAATGCAACAGGGAACGCTTTCCTCAGTCTATTCAGCCCTTTTAGATTCTTCAATTTCGCCCGTAGTTGGTCAGAAAAACGTAACGAAGAGCGGGATGCAATAAACCTTGTTTTACGTGGGAAAGCAAAATTTATAGCATTTAAAAGTAAGTGTAAGAAGTTGGTGAAGTCAAGGTCAATATCATCGGTGATCATATCAAATGCGTTTCCGCACCAGAATTTTTCGAAGTTATAGATATTCTGCTGGTTCACCATCCTGTACTCATAAGACCGAGGTGGCTGATCTTTAAAGGTTTCCGACATGTTTGTAGGCACAGTAATAAGCTGTGCGTGGTGGTCTGAGATCCCAGGATCAAAGTTTTCACAGTTGTAATTTAGGGCGTTGGTAACGACATAATCGATTGTAGATGATGTTGATTTTACGCCATAGTTCGTTATCCTAGTTGGACTATTTATTATAGACATCAAGCGGAACGACGAAAAAACGTCACAAAGAATGTTATACTGTCGTACATTATCGTGCCTAATATTTAGGTCACCTGTTAAGAGAACATGTTTGTAACATTTTATAGTCTTTGTAAGTAAGGTGCTTAAATTGTTTACAAACAAATCGAACCGGCCGTCAGGTGGCCTATAAATATTTATGATGCAAATGTTATCCATTTCGATAGCAGAGCATTCAAAACAGCACTCGATAGATAGCTTTTCAATGTGACGTAGTGGTTTACATTTGTGGGTTTTCGACTTATGTACAAATATCGCAGATCCCCCATGAATGTGATCGTCTCTACAGAAGTAGCTGGTAATTTTGTAGTCACTCAAGCAGAAAAGTTCCACATTGCTACTAGAAAGCCAGTGTTCGCATATACATAAGATGGTTGGTACACATTTACTTAAAAACAAATCGAGAATGTTTATTTTATTGGTTATATTGACTGCACGTTAAGATGCAGTACACTGAATGAGTTTACGTCCGTTAGCCCGTATTTTCGGTTGTTTTCTTTTTCGGAAAAAAACGCGTCACAAGTATGCCCTCTGGCCAGGTTTCGGCACACATAGCCTTTTCGAGATTATTTTCGTTTATAGCGAAGGAAGAATAATGTTCAGGATGCTTCGACTTCAGGGTTTCGCAATGGGCCTCCGGTAGTCGTGCGGATAGAAAGTCTGTGATATCCTTACACGTGGTGCTCGGATCAAAACGTGTGGCATGGACAAACAGCTTCTTAGGGACTACCTTTAGGGAATGGCTGTTAGAACTCGTGGCGCTACCTATTATCATGGGTTTTTTAGTTTTGCGTTTTACAACCGTGGACCATTGAATCTCTTGAGTGATGGCTGTCTTTTCGACCTCGTTACTACTCGTTGGATTGCTATTGGCAAACGGAATGGCGGGTTTTGGGTTTTGAGTGTTGGGACCGTTAGATGGCACCACAGGTACTACTTTATCTGTTTTGTTTATTGCCTTCTTTCGAACGACATTCTCAGATGGACTAGTTTTATTAAATTTTTCCTCAAGTAACTTGATTTTGTCAGACAACACCTGGATTAACATATTCTTGTCTCTGATAATAGATGTCAGATAGTCAACTTCACTAGCTTTACTGTTCGCATTGAAAATAGAGTCGTTTTGCGTGGCAAGGTTATTTGGCACTGCCTCACAACAAGTTACGTTCTCATTGTCTATAAATGTAATTACACCGTGTTTGTACCGAGAAGCACAACTGTCATGAAAATGGTTAGCACAATTCACACACTTAACACGTTTTTTGGCTGTATTTTTATTACAAACTACACAAATACTTGACGGCAGAGCATCCGACGCGTCCTCGTACGTCGCCATCTCTTTTTACAGTGTAGTTTTGATCAACCCACGGGAATTCATTGCCCATGATTCTTCATATGCGATGATTTGAAGTCTCAGTCATTTACGTCTAGTTGTCAGTGTTCTACCTAATTCAACAATGATTTCACTATAAGAACCAACATTGAATCTAACAAATACTTATATTAAATTACCGTATATCCCTGATTTATCAACAAAAATCGAAAAAGAACTTAAATAGTATATTGAAAGACAAGTATTACAATAAAGCATTGTAACACGCGTTTTTCATACTATTTTTTCTATTTCGATGCTTTAATTTAATTTAAAAAAATCATTCTCAGAAACTATAGAACTAACATGTTTTATGTTGGGAACACTTTTTATGCCGTTAAGTTTTAGGTTGGCAGCGTAGTAAGACTGACATTTTGAAGTTCAAACATGGAAGTACCCAACGAAGTACTTACTTGTACTAACTAGTAACTGCCAACTTAAGAGATGAGTTACAAAAAAAAACGACTATAATCACTGTCTTTGTACAACTGTTTTCGGCCGAAAACAGTTGTACAAAATCATCATTGTGACACCGAAATAGAAAAAATAGTTTTCTTACCTTTCTATTCCCTTATACATTTTTAACTTTTCCCCTGATATACCACACAAATTATACCATATAAACAATTTTAGATCCAATGACAACACCTCTTAGAAATTTTGAACATTACATTTATTTAACAATTTTCTAACCTCACTTATGAAACTAAACCACAATGCTGATCTGTTAGCTCAACTTACATTAAAGTAAAATTAAAACACTACGGACGTTTTTAATCGTATTTAAATCAATAATTTGCATCAGTTTTTGTACAATTTCAATTTTTGACATTTATGGTAAGTAAATAAAGGAAAACTCTCCTTGATTTCTTCATTTCACCT